CATATGATTTGTTACTTTTAATTTCCCATTAACTTTTACCTTTGTTAACTTATTTTCTTATTTTTATTAATAAATTTCCATTCAAAAATAAACAATGAACTTTTGAAATTGTAATAAACTAATTTACCTTAGCAATTTGTATAATTTAATTTTGTTTTTCCTCTTTTTTTAACAATTAAGAGTGTTATCCGTGTTTTTTGATAATTTTCGCAAATATAAATAAATCTAATTTAAAAATATTTAGCTAAAATTTAATTTAATGAAAGATTGATAGCCCTATAATACATTTAGGCCTGTTATAGCTATTCTATTATAATCTTATAATACATTTAGATCCGTTAGTAGTTATACTTTTATAGCCCTATAATACATTTAGATCTGTTACAGTTATACTTAATACATTCAGGCCTGTTATGGCTATTCTGCTATAGCCTTACAATACATTCAGATCTGTTAACAGTTATACTTTCATAGCCTTTATAATATATTTACGTTTTTTATAATTATTTCATTATAATACATTTATAGCCAAAATTCTTATTTCACCACTATTATGATACATTTATGGCCTGGTTGTATATCGTCCTCATCCTTTCATCTTTGGTCATTAAATGTAAAATGTACGGATGACAATTCTTATCTGTCTTATTAATTAACAATAATTATGTTAATTAGAATATCATTTTTAAACTAATAACAATCCATCATCTTTCATCTTTTTTTTTTTTGCTTAATCTTTCTTTTTTTTTTCTCATTCCCTTTCCTTTTCTTTCTTCTCTTTCAACTAATATTATTCATGCATTTATAAATAAGACCTTTAAAAAAAAAACGAAAACGAATAGGAAAGGATGTGGAACACGTCAAGCATATATTTATATCTATGCATATTTATGCTAATTTCTTGCATATTTGATGAGCAAACACGAATAAACAGATGATAGTCTAACGAATTAATAATACATTTCTTGCTCTTATAGATAATATTAGACCGGTTTGTTAAATCCGGATAATGAAAGAGGAAAGAGAGAGAGAGAGAGAGAGAGAGAGAGAAGAGAGAGAGAAGAAAAAAGGAAAAGATAACAGGAACGAGTGATAATCAAACCGGAAAGAAAAAAAAAGAAGCAAACCATCAAAGAAAAAAAAAAAAAATTGCTAAACTTTAAGAGCTATTCAAAACAATGATTTGTTCATCCATCATATATCATTTTTTTCCTCATCTTTTTTTTTTTTTTAATACTATTCTATTCTCCTCTTAACCATTCGTTATATTTATCTTTTCCACTGATCCATAATATCTGATAAGGTTTTTTTTTTTCCTTTTTTTCTTTCTTTTCTCTTTCTGCTCCCTTTCTTTTTTTTTTTTTTCGATGACGAAGAGGAGAAGAGAATGTCATTTGGTTTGGTTAGCAAAAGTATTAATACAAAATGATTAGCATATTTAGGCTATCCTAATCATCTCATTCCTCTCATCTAATCAGTTCTGTTTTTTCTTCCTTTTTT